TGTGGGCAGACAGTAATTACATTGTTTTCCTCCTGAGACCCGACTGCCTACAGTCCATCTGTGACTGGGCTTATTGCTGCGGAAGTGATTTACTATTGCATTATTTTATCAATATAACACCTGCTTGGTCTCCTGCCAAGACTTTGTCATTTCCTGCAGAGTTGCCAAAAATGCTAAGTTGTACACAAGAAGCTTTTTGTGTGTGTATGGCTGCAAGATAAACAAGGTGGCTGTGGAATACAAATCAAAAGCTAATAGGGACCGTCTTTCCAGAAGAAAGCATCATTTGTTCAAATGCTTAAAAAGTAGACCCATGTTTACATTTTGACCTCTTGTCTGCTTGTGAGTAATGACTGACCTTTCTCAAAAGCAAAGGTAGAAGTAGTTTTAATTTGTTAAGGAGACCTTATTATGCTTTTCCATATTTTATGACTTATCTACAATGTTAGTGTTGGATGTTCATGTTAAACATGGCCAAAGCTTCAGATAATGAGGTGACCTATTATACTGCTTTTCCAGTTTAGTCTAGTTCTGTGACACCTGTATAGCTTATTCTGACTCTTCATGTAGGCCTTCATTTCAACCTCTATCTTTAAAGGGATACTATGCGATTCTGCATAGAACGCGCATTGCCATGGTAACCAGTCCTACTCTGCTGAAATATAGCAGCGTCTGCTGTCCAGGAGCATGTTAGCCTCAATAAGAGGGCATGTTTTTGCAGCACTGTAGAAGGTGTGACAACAAGCCTGACAATATTTTAATATGTATTGAAACAAAATACTTTTCTAAGCCTAAATCTAAGATTCGGAGTGTAGTTTATTTATCTGTAGGATTATCGAGAGGAACTTCAATAGTTACAATTAGTGAACAAACATCATCAAACGAATGACGTGTAAGCTCACAAACACAGCATCCAAAACAAAACAGAGTAAAAAACTAGCGAGTTATTTGAAATAGTTTGTACAAAGATACAGTGACTGATAAGAGTTGGGAAGCACAGGAGTGACTGTTTATCTCCAGAGCCGAAGTCAAAGCTAACTTTGGGGCTAACCTCCTTCACTCTTTATTCAACAGTTGGCAGCAACACACAGGAGCTCCTCTTTAGTCCTGAGAAGCTGAAGTCATTATTCAACAGCCACTGTAACTTCTACTGTACATTTACTGCTGAACAAGCCTTATTGCTGACCCGTTTCTCTCTATTCACTGGGACACCCGTTCACACACACCTGCTCCTCTACCACACACACTCTGACTACTGAGGCAAAGCTAACAAAGCTAATCAGCTGGGATCATCACAAACATGACACAGACAGATAAGACAGTAATACTGAAGCTGACATTACTCACCTGTCCAGTAGAAACAGAGCAACTCAGCATCGGTTTTCATTCCTTTCAAATCTCGTAGATTTATCCATCATTGGAACACTTCACAGATGTTAACAGAGGTCTTCCCCCTCGCCTGGTCATATAACTTGTTTCACAATTCCTCAGACCTTTCCCTCTGTGGCTGTATCTCAGTCATCTTCACAGCTATAGAGTCCCGTAATGAGTCTGTCATGTTCGAACTTACTGCTGTTTGTTTACGTTATCTCTACCACTGCTCCGAGCGTGCCACCGCCACCTGCTTTGTTTGTGCTCAATTTACAGACCCAGGGCTGTGTAGGAAAACCGGATTTTCTTTTTGCTCAGTGGAACAGGGATTTCTTTTAAATACTTTAACCTTATTTTTTGAAGCTTTGGCCATGTTAAACATGAACATCCAACATTATAACATTGTAAGTCATAAAATGTGTAAACGCGTAATAGGTCTCCTTTAAAAGAAATTCCTGTGAGACACAGCAACGTCTGCCTGTACCGCCCAGCGACAACAACAGCCTGGTAACATGCTTCAGGTCTTGGCCAATCAGAAGAAAGTGGACTTTGAAGGGGGGCCTGAAAGAGACAGGAGCATCTACAGCTTGTTTCAGATAGAGGCCGAAATGAAGGCCAACATGAAGAGTCAGTACAAGATAGAAAAGTATTTTTTTGAACGTTGAATCATGCAAAGCTGCCAAAAAGGAGTAACAGAACTACAATATAGGGCTGGAAATACAGTATAATAGGTCTCCTTTAAAGTGCTGGAAAACCTCTTCGGAATGAGGTTGGGGTGAATGGTTACGCAAACACAATGAATTCGACACTAGAGGCCACTGTTAGCATCTCGTCCCCTAGCATCAGTCAAGTTGATATCTTTTAACCATAGTAATTCCCTAATCTTGCCAAGTAGTTGTAGTTGTCTTAAACTCAACCAATTCTTGACAATAGACAAAACACTTACATGAATCATTTTTGTTAAGTCATATGGGGTGTTTTTTTAAAGAAAGGAAAAAGTGATCTTTTTTGTCATTAAGGTTTGAGGACTTGCTGAGCTCAGCTTTTGCAATTACCAATACAGAGTTTATCACCTTTAGATGCTGACACAAGTTTTTCTCAAGTATTTAGTATCAAACTGGATATTTAAAAAGAAAAAACATAAATGGTCCCTTTAATGCATACAGTTTACTCATGCCATCGTTTGGGCGTATATAATATCCCTCTAACTTAAAAATGTGTATTGTGTATTGATTTTCCCTCTAATTAATTTAAATGAAATAAGTTCAAGAAAATACCTTCATGTGTATAAGTAATATAAATATGGTTAATTGTGAACCCTGATTCAAATAATTGTACTGGCCAAAAGCACTGAGATATTCTGACCCTCATTCGTGAAGACCCCCAAAAAACAAAACACTTGTGAGATACTCCCACTATGTGAATTGATGAAAGTTGTTGTTCCAACATAGATCAAGAAGAATCCATAAATGAAATGTTGCAGTGCAGTGAGGTCAGTTGATTCAGAATCAGTGTGACTGAGATATCTTGAGGTAAAAAACGTTGTTCTCTCCTCGTACCTGCGTCAGTCCATTACAGTGCTGATTTAATTTCCATTGACTGTCTGCCTCTCTCTTCTCCCTTACACTCTTTCTTTATCTCCATCTCCATGCAGTAATTGGTAAGCTGAGCTGAGCTGAGATGAGAATATACAGTATGCAGGATTTTAACTCATTCTTTTGCTTGTCGGTGCAAGACTCATTCCCCCAAAATGCACCACAGAGTGCCACAGGAAGTCATTCCTGCCTGTGGCCATCAAACTTTATAACTCCTCTCTTTAAGTGTCTGACACTTAGTCAGTTATTAAACTAGACCTTATTATCTATTTTCTGTGCAATATTACTACCTGTTTAATAATTAATGTGCAATATTCTCTGCTGCTATTTATTCACTAGTACTTTTTGGTTCACCATAAGTAAATATTAATAATGTAAATATTGTACATACCCACACTCCTTTTATACTCTTTATCTATCTACCTTGACAAGTGTGCAATTGTGACAAAAGAATTTAATTGAAACATTTCTGTTAATATATTTATTTTGTTGAGGAAAACAGACTGAAAAACTATTTACTCATCATATTTGTTGAGAAAAGATTTTGTCATAATTGTTTTGAATGCAGATTTGTGAAGCGATCCACTGTTTGGCATCAAGTGTTTATCACGTTCTGACCATAAATAAAAGTTTAACCACACAGTTAATCATCTGGTTTTCACTCAGGAGCAAAAAACAGCCTTTAAACTTGAAAGAAATAATGATTTGACATTTAATAAATAGTATTTTTTTAGCATAACCTGGCCCTTAACCTCATTTGAAAGAGTGTGAGATATTTGAACTAAGTGAAAACTATTTTTGAATTTTTTTTCTATTCTGTGTTTGGAGTTGCACATGCACAAACAAGATATATAACACAATTAAGGCCAAAAATCATAATATGACCTTTATACGTACAGGATATAAGAAAAACAAGTGTGATAGCAGTTCTGTACACTTAGTTATAGAGCCTCATTTAAAGAAGAAATGTAATTTGATTTATAATCAAGCAATTAGTCAGTCATAAGAGGAAAAACACAAATTGCTGGTTCAAGCTTTTCTAATATGCAGATTTGAAGCTTCATCACATCAATATAAAGTAGTTGATACTAGATAGAATATCTCGCCCACACATTTTCTGCAGTGTTTCTATTTCCTGATGTAGACTTATTGACCCCACACACACACACACACACACACACACACACACACACACACACACACACACACACACACACACACACACACGTCTTATTGAGGCTGGTCTATACTCTTTTATTTGATTTCGCCCTTTTTCCAGCTGCTCTGATTGATTTTTTTTTCAGTCTCTCCTCCATCTTCAGTCCTTCATTCTTCACACTCTCACTCTCTCTCCATCCATCTCTCTCATATCCTGAAGGTTTCTTCGTTCTTTTTTTGTCTCCCTGTAAATGTTATTACACTCTAACTCTGTCATCCCCCTCTCTCTTTACAGATACTTTGTGTGTGATATGAAGAATTGATTCTTGACTTGTAGTTTTAATGATGCAGGCTCATTGAGCTTCTTCAAGATTCAGTGCAATGATGGATAATTCTGCTGTTTTTGGTCCTTTAAACGTGACTTAAAGCTGGGGTAGGCAATATATTTCAGAAGCATTTTTTGTTATTTGTTGAAATTATCTTTACATCCAGACAACAATCAATAAATCAGACACTCAAATGAAAAAATCCAGCATCTGTAGCTGTCGCAGGACTGTAAAAAGCAATCATTGTCAATCATTTAATTCTGTACTTGAAAATGTGTTTTGTGGGTGTGGCTTTGACCGATTTCTTTCGGTTGGATACTTTTAAAATCGAGCTGTTTCTTGCTGTTTCTCCAGCGTTGTCTACCCCAGCTTTAAAGAGACTAACTCTGAATGTTTGGATACACCACCACAGCAGATTGTGTTCATGTCCTAAAGCTTTTATATGTGTTTTCAAAGCACTCAGTGTCTGCTTTCTTTGTCCTGCTGCTCAGGAAATCATGCAAGGATGAGTCTCCCATTTTTTCTAAACTGTCTGTCTCTTCTCTGACAGGGCGGGGCACCCCACCACACCTTCAGGGGGGGGTCAGGAAGGTGAGGAAAACCCAGCAGCGCTGGCAGAGAGCTGTTTCAGGGAGCTGCTGGGCAGGGCAGCCTATGGCAACATGAACAACGCTGTCCGACCCATATTGGTGTGAGTACCTCAACGTCAGCAAAGATTGCAACGTTGTGTCTGTGGCTCAGAGATGTTTGCGCAACAGAAATTACCATGTAGTGTTCAAGTTACAGGATGTTTTAGCCCATAGAGAGCCTAAGTCCCTCCCTTCTGCTTCCGCCCCATGGGATCTTATTTCTAAAAAAAAAAGTATATATGGTAGTCAGTGGTGGAAGACCATTTGAATTGTGCCCTGAATTACACATGCAGTCTGTCAATTTGAAAGATAATTTTGTCCATCAAGAAAGCCACACTTTGTCGCAAAACAGTAAAGTAACATGTAGTTTTGTGTATAACCGCTCATTGTGCTCAATCTCTCTCTCCTGTCTCGCACAACATACGTCACCAACATGTTAATGCTGTAATGCTAGCTAACGTTCATTGCTTGGTGGTTACAAGCTAGGTAACTTCTCCGAAATAATGTCCCATGGTGGTCAACCAGAAGGGGAGAAGCTGAGGCTCTCGATTACCTACAAACAACTTGTTCTTTAAATTAAAGCTAGCCCTTTTCTATGTTTTAGACATCTGACAAAAATGTCCTAAATCTGCTTGCAAAATCCGTAATAAACATCTGTCTCACATACTAATGTTAAAGTTATTTTTATAAAAGTTACCTACGGATCCTTTAATGCCAAGTTTTTTTTTTTTAAATGAAGGCAATGTACACAAAGACCACCTTCTCACTTCGCAGAAACGCTGTAGTACTGAGATTTACAACCGGCTTTATTACATGTTAGAGTCATGACACAGACAGCAGGAGAAGTGACAGGACAGCAAATTTAGGACAGTCTCCTAAAAACACACACACATGGACACACCTCCATACAGACAACACAATACATGCATACAGAAAAACAGTTGCCTTTTTCTTCTTCCGCATACATACATTTTCTCTCACACAGTTTGCCCGCACGCACACACGCTTTAGTCACTCTGTTTCAAACGCACAAATACACAGAAATGCCGTCTCCCAACACAGAGGAAATTAAATGAGCTCTCTTATCACGCGGGTGGCTGTGGCAACGCAGCACACCGTCGCCACCCTGCGACTGTCTTCCCCTCCTGGGATTTAAATATCCTCGTTGCTGCTCCTATTGGCTGCACTGCTCCACCACTCAGCCTGATTCACATAAATTGGACAATTACCGAGTGAACAGCGGAGCCCCGCTGAGAATTTCTCTGTCACAGTCTGTTTCTGCTCTATTGGGCCGCTCTGAGTGCAGGCTTCACTTTGGTCCTTTTAAGGCTCATGCAGATATTTAAATAAGTGGTGTTTAAGGGGCTAGCAGTGTGGCTCCAGGGATGGTGATGTCATTCTTTTAGTTAGTATGATGGTCTTGCGTGAGAATTCTAAATGAGTATTAGATGAATTGCTAGTCAATTCTGTTAAGACATGCATGTTCTTTAGAGCACATACCCTAATGACATTGGCAGTCCTCTGACTTTTCATTTAGCGTCACAAATCCCCTTTCCAACAGTGACTGAATGTGCGTTATGCCCCCACCTCGCCATGCAGACTCTGTGTGGACTAGTTCCAGCTCCCGCCGAGTGAACATGGCAGCCGGGACCAAACACATCATCCAAGACCGACAGAGGCCAGTTTGACGAGAGGGAATACAGTACCGAGGTGGTTTTCTTGCCAGGTTTGGGTCTTGGAACCCCGGGACAGGAGTCAGCTAATAGGACCGCTAGCAGCCTGGCTAATTTTAATCGAGCTAAGTAGCTGCAGATGAAGACAGAGAGTTAGCAGCATTTAAGGTTTCAACAGAAAGTAGATCTGTCCATCCAGAAGCGCTCTAATGTTAAATCACCTCGGTACTGTATTCCCTTTTGGTATTTGAGGACCTGTTCACTGGGAGGCTGCTGAACTCTGAACACTGAACTTTCATTGGCCGGTCGCCCGTTCCGGGGCCTCTACCCACCATCACTCCCTGCTGGGTCCCCCGCCAATGGCCATAAACTTTACAAACCCCCCCGGCCTGAAAACCTCCATGGCTTAAGTAATATTAGAAGTGTAACACTAAAACTCCCTCAGTACTCCGAGCTCCAAAAATTAGAAAGATTTTTATTGGACGCTAAAGTAATACGGCCCGAGCGCAGGAGGATCATGAGTCATCAACATTTTAAAATCGTTTTCCAGGAACTGTCAAACTCTAAAATACCATCAAGAATACCTACAGAACAACATTTTTTTATAATTGTTTGCCCAGATGCTGATGAATTGGTGACTTATAGTGCAAGGCAAATGCAATAAAAACAAATTAACATCGATTTTGATTTCATGGAGAATTTAACATCTGTGGGGTTGTTATCAAGGTGATGGATACTGTTTGGTTCATTAGAGTTCCTGGCCTCTTTCATGTCTCTTTTGAACCATCCATCCTCCTGGTCCAAAATATATGGTATATTGTTGTTGTCCAAAGAGTGTCTCTTGTCCTTCAGTCCAAACATCTTCAAGTATCTTCAACCACGTACAGCTGCCCTTGATTTTAACCTTCCTACATCAAAAACTAAACCATTCTATTGCTTTAACCAGAAGATAACCCTACAGATGTGCTTTGAGATTAATGCTATCATAGCATGCTAAAAGTTTAGCCTGCACCACTAAAATGCTAAATGTTAAAATGTCACCATTCTAACTTTATTCATGCTAACATGTTAAATCTTCTAAGTTACTTTACATGTTAAGTTTGTGCATTTATGTTTACCTGTGCTGCTTTTAAGAACCCAACATGCTAAATGTTATGCTAGACTTAGCATGTAAGTGTATGTAGCATATGTGCACATGCTGAATATTACCTGCTAAACATATTACGTACGTAATTGTATGCACGTTTACAAGTCAGACTGAACAGAGAGGGGTTGCTTTAGGAGCTGTTAACATTTGTCATGCCAGTTACAGAAATATGTCTAGACTAAACATTGCATGCTATGCACTCAAAACTTTGCAAAAAACAAATTGTTTAGTATGATAATAAGCTAACACATTAGCATGTTTGCAACTGTTTGTACTTGGTGGACTTTGACTATAGCTACACACAGTATATTATTCTACCTTTATAATAAAGCTGCATTAGATAGTTTAATCTTGGTGTGTACTCACATAGTCCTGAACACACACACAGACACACACAATGACTGTTTTTCTTAAAGTAGCACTGTTTAATTAGCAGTATTATGACTCGAGGCCCTGATGATGAAGTTATAAAAAATGTATTTACTCTATAATAAGCTGCCCGTGCTATTATCAGCTCTCCAGTCAGAAAAAAAAACAAAAGTGGAAAATAACTATAGAACAACTTTGAATGAATAGGTCCACTTCATCACCTTTAATCAGTGTTAACTGAGTTGACGAAGAAACTCAGTTGGTACAGAGACCAAAGAAGAAGTGTTCATGCCAACAGAAATGAAAGGCAATGATTTAGCTGATTTATTCGACTTTTATTATCTTACCTACTTAGACACTACTGGTTACAACAGCGGTTTCTAACGATGATTTGGACACTATGCTATTTTGGCAGCCGGGCTTCCTATTCCCAGTCTGTCACTGAAATATCTCAACATTAGAAATATGTTGGTGATTCCCTGACCTCACCTGTAGAACCACCATGAGGCTTTTCAGGAAATTTGATTTACACGTTCATGTCCTCAGGATAATTGTAATGCACTTGGTGATTCCTTTTCATCTAGTGCATCAGCGGGTCAAAATGTAAATGTTTTCATTACTTGACCAAAAAAAAATCACCTACAATAATATATATATATACTGAGGTCTGTTTATTTAGGTCCGTGTAAATTAGCTGATAACAGATTTGATTTGATGAAAAAGATTTGTACTCTTCCATCAAACTCAATGGTACTGTAAGTAATTTACATTGTACTTTTCAGGCTCTTGGCTGATAATCAGTAAACACGACTTTTATTGAGTGCAACAGTAGAATAAGCTGCAATTCACTTAAATGTTACAAATAATCAATAGTAAGGCGCCTGAAGGTCTGAGCCATAATGGCCTGACAATTTACCCCATGTCTGTCACAACCGAGTGATATAAAGTACAAAGAGTGAAGAGAAAGAAATGAATGCAATAAGAGACAGAGGAAAAACAAACAAATGCCTGATAAGTCTCGGTTGACATTAAGCATTTAAGTTTTGGGTGGACACAGCACTTTCCAAAATGTTTTGATTTACTTTTTTGACTATAATTTGAAAGCGGTTTCAGTTTGCTTGAGTTAATGCGCAGAATGAAGAGCGACACAATGCGGTTAACTTGGTGCTACGGACTTTATCTGAATGTTAGTGATATACATTTACTTACCTGATATCCTCATCATCCTCTCTGATATTTCCTCCCATGCTTTTTTAATCCAGTCCCAATAGGATCAGGGAGTAGAGTTAAAAAACTCTGAAATAACTTGGAGATGCACAAAACGAACATAACAAATCCCATGTGTGGAGGACGTTGTGGTGTTTAGGGTCAAAGTTCAATTCATGTGAGGCAGTAAGATTGTATAAAATTTTGTATAAAATTATTCGTAAAAGTTTATGGCGTCCTATAGACGGGTTTCTGTCCAACGTCATCACTGAGATGCGCGCGCAACTAGGGGGTAGAAAGCAGCACTCTGTCTTCGCGGCACATCAGTTTATACAGCATATCTAGCTGCAGTGTTGGGCAAATTACTCAGAAATTGAAATTACTTACTTTTTACTTATTACTCATTTAAAAAGTATTAATATTACTTTATTTAGTACTGGGTATTAAAAGTAAATAGTCACGTTACTCGTTCTGTTACTTTCAAACGCTGCAGCCCATCCTTAAAAATGACGGGAAACCTGTTCAGCAGCGCATTTTTGAAATGAATCCACTTCAGGAGTCACTGCAGCCTCTCAGACCAGAGGATGCTGTATCATATAAGCTTTGGATATAGGCTATTTACAATTAATAAAAAACAAAGCAGGTCCCTCCCGACATTTTTACTGAT